TTCACATGAGCTTGATGAGGAGAGGGAGGTTTTAATGGTCGTGGCACGTCATATATAAGACTCTGCTGGACCACTTTGTATGGGTCACAAATCTACTTAATTTAGAAATAAAACACATTTTGAACACAATTGGACAACGTAATGAATAAACTAGAAAAAAGCAAAAAACCCAAATAAACAATTTATTTGAAATTAAAAAGAAAAAAAAGGATAAAATAATGCGACAAAGCTGTTAAACCCAAATTAAAAAAAGACACTTTTGACGGTTTGGAGTTGGGTTGGGCTAAGGATCACCACAGCAAAAGCATCTGCCTCTAATCTAGAACGTGGAACACGGAAGAGGAGCTGATGATGAAGAAGTCGAGTCAGAGCGAGGACGAGTTCACGCCAAACAGAAGCTGAAAGTCACTCCGTCTGTTCCAGGTGAAGAAAATCAGGTTTCCAGTTTTCTACTTAGAACAAAACACACACACACACGTGTGTGTGTGTGTGTGTGTGAGTGTGTGTGTGTGTGTGTGTGTGTGTGTGTGTGTATGAGAGTGTGTGTGTGTATGAGTGTGTGTGTGTGAGTGTGTGTGTGTGTGTGTGTGTGTGTGAGCGTGTGTGTGTGTGTGTGTGTGTGTGTGTGTGTGTGTATGAGAGTGTGTGTGTGTATGAGTGTGTGTGTGTGAGTGTGCACGTATGAGCGTGTGTGTGTGTGTGTGTGTGTGTATGAGAGTGTGTGTGTGTATGAGTGTGTGTGTGTGAGCGTGTGTGTGTGAGTGAGCGTGCACGTATGAGCGTGTGTGTGTATGAGCATGCACGTGTGTGTGTGTATGAGAGCGTGTGTGTATATGAGTGTGTGTGTGTATGAGTGTGTGTGTGTGTGAGCGTGTACGTATGAGTGTGTGTGTGTGTATGAGAGCGTGTGTGTGTATGAGTGTGTGTGTGTGAGCGCGTGTGTGTGTGAGCGTGCACGTATGAGCGTGTGTGTGTACGAGCATGCACGTGTCTGTGTGTATGAGCGTGTGTGTGTGTGTGTCAGCGTGTGTGTGTGTGAGCGTGTACGTGTGTGTGTGAGCGTGTGTGTGTATGAGCGTGTGTGTGTGTATGAGCGTGTGTGTGTGTGAGCGTGTACGTGTGTGTGTGAGCGTGTACGTATGGGCGTGCGTGTGCACACGAGCATGCATGCACCTGTTGTTGAAGGTGTGTTTGGGGCATCTCAGCAGCGTGTGGTGTACTCTAACACCGCCTGCATGGAAACATCCATCCCTCCATCTCTCCTCAGCGAAGCACCCACAACCCCGCCCGGCGCTGCGAGTCCACTGGGACTCCCACCAGGTGGATATAAATAGAACATGAGCTGGCCAGCCCATAAATATCAAGAGCTTCAGTAGAACGATGACATCTCGAGTCTGGTCCACACCCTCTGCAGAACACACAAACACTGAAGCTGAAGTGGGACGGTGGTTCAGAGATGCTGCACGGCGACAGGTGTGCACATCAAGGGCACTTTGGTTCACTCTATATGGTTCAAGCTCCATTGTGAGCCACTTTTTAGATAATGAGCCTCGTTGTGAGAGTGGGGCTGTCCTACGCGCTCATAGCGGTGAGCAGCTAACAGCAAGTCTGGTTAAAAGACAAACAACCAGGTTTGATGAAGAGACACTTGTGAAAATTGATTTTGGTGTGTTTCTGGGAGGATGACACATCGTCATTTAGCGGTGTAAACAAAGCTCTCTGCAGGTGAAAAGATGATATGCTGTGAAATGGAAAACTATCCGTAACACCGGCAACCTGACAGGCATGACGGGATTCTCAACACTCCAAACACCCAGCAGCTTCATAAACGCCGTACCGCAGACGTCTGACTAGGACTTCAGCCACAGACGTCTGCGTGTCAGCCTCTAATGCTCCAGCAGGGTTCTGGTCCGGTAGTAACACGTCTCCGCTGTGTTCAGAGCAACGCGTGGACTCGTCCTAGCAACAGCTCATGACATCTATTCACTCTGGCCGACTAATGGGGAGTCGTGTAGAGCAGAGCGGGCGTGAGTCTCAGTACCTGTTAGCCTTTTCAACTCAGCCTAAACAGTTAAATGTATTTAATTAGAATGAAGGCTGGGAGAAACAAAGGCCCCTGAGGAAGGTGCTAATGTTCATATGATGCATGTAGTTCAATGGAGGAGCGGTCCTGCCTGCTGCAGCGCCGTCTCTTCCACTCATCTGAGCTTTCTGGCCTCGTTTCTGGACATCGAGGCTCCCCGTGACCAAGCTGGGATGTTTTAGAGCTGGAATGGGACACTAGCCGACATGTTTTAGTTGTTTTTCTGCTCCCACACAGTTGAGTCACCCATGGACGTAATTTTCACTTTAGAAGTGGGGGGGACACGGGGGGGGGGGGGGGGGGGGATCTTTACAGTATTCTCTAATGGGAAACAGGCTTCAACACAAACGGTTATTTTCTGCTTGGTCCTAGAGCTCAACCAGTGTCAATTTAAAATAGCGTAATATTGTTTTTGGATGGTAAAAAGTGCAGGGGTCAAAACTTGACTTTGGAAAAAGTGGGGGGGACATGTCCCCCCTGTCCCCCCCCAAAATTACGTCCATGGAGTCACCTAAAAGCAGGTGTGTTGGAGCAGACACAGGCATGAGGCGAGCAGCCCTGGTTCAGAGAGACCTTCAGGAGCTGACGAGGGCGAGACACCAGGAATTAGATGTTTCTAACATTCTAATGATTTAAGACTGAATTTTATGTTTTAAACATTAAATCACAACAAAAGTTGTAATGAAAAAGTTTCTCTTAGTGAAAAAAGTGACAATAAATGTGAAACTTGTTTAGTGCTCTAGTTGCTTCAGATGCAGACCGTGCTGCAGACAGAAGGCCGTCTTCTGCTAAATGCATGGAGTGAAACTCACCAGCAGTCAGCGAACACGTCAGTTAACTAAATCAATAATTAAAAACTTGATCAAAGACCATGTTTATGTCTGAAGTAACAACAGTTTACTGAAGATTTGGGAAACGTGGAACCGAACCTGTGATCAGAACGTCTCCAGGGCTTCAGGAGAACATGGCATCTCTGCTGCTGACCTAAAGCTGAATCAGGACCATCGAAGGGCGAATCACTGGGAAATGGTGAGCTGTTGAAGGATGATGGAGTAGAGCGTCGTTGATAAGTGTCTGCAGGCCCAGCCGGGCCGCGTGAGGGATGCGGCGGCGTGAGGACTTACAGGAAGTAAATGTTTTTATTGTTCTCCTAACGTCCGACTGTGGTGTGAAACCTCAGATCTCCGCAGTGCTCTTGTTTGAAGACACTGATGGAAACCCCCGACCTGCTCTGCTGCTTCTCATCAGCTTCAGGGTTTACATCCAAGCACCACGTTGTCTCAAACTAAACATTTCTATCATGTCCAGTTTCAGTGTTTCTGTTCACCCATCGGAGCTCCTCCCTGCTGTCGCAGACGGCCGAGCCACTCGAGGTCCCGCACGAGTCAATATGAAGGACTAAACTGGAGTTGAAGGCAGACACGAGTTCAATCTTTCACTCCGTGGCACAGAAAACACAGCGAGGCGGTTCTGTAGCGTCGCTCTCACCGAGCAGCCAGAACAATAAACCCTGACCTGGGGGGCAGAGCCCACCGTGCCCCCGACAATCACTGGGACTATTCTAGACCGATGCAGCAGCCGCGCGTGTGTGTGCGTGTGCGTGTGTGTGTGTGTGTGTGTGTGTGTGTGCGTGCGTGTGTGTGCGAGTGTGTGTGCGTGCGTGTGTGTGCGTGCGTGTGTGTGTGTGTGTGTGTGTGTGTGCGTGTGCGTGCGTGTGTGTGTGTGTGTGTGCGAGTGTGTGTGTGTGTGTGTGTGCGTGCGTGTGCGTGCGTGCGTGTGTGTGTGTACGTGTGTGTGTGTGTGCGTGTGTGTGTGTGTACGTGTGTGTGTGTGTGTGTACGTGTGTGTGTGAGTGTGTGTGTGTGCGTGTGTGTGTGTGTGTGTGTGTGTGTGTGTGTGTGTGTGTGTATGTGCGTGCGTGTGTGTGTGTGTGTGTGTGTGTGTGTGTGTGTGTGAGTGTGTGCGTGCGTGCGTGCGTGTGTGTGTGCGTGCGTGTGTGTGTGTGTGTGTGTGCGTGTGTGTGTGTGCGTGTGTGTGTGTGTGTGTGTGTGTGTGTGTGTGTGTGTGTACGGAGATATGGAAGGAAAACTATTATGTAATAAAATCCACACGAACACATTAAATAGTGAATTGCAGTTTTTAGTGGAGTGCCTTCTAGATTCCTAGAACCCCCCAAAGCACTTTACATGATCAGCCATTCACTGTGAGCACAGGCACCACGGGTCCCTCCGACCACCGCCAGCAGGTAATGTGGTTTAGTGTCTTGCCCAAGGACACAGCGGGAACCAAACCTGCAACCTTCTGACGACGAGGCAGACGCTGAACTCCTCTGCCACCATGAGCCACATGAAGTTTCCCTCATGAAGACATAGACGTGAACGAGTGAGGATCTACCTGGTCCAGCACACCCGATGACTGAATCTGCTGTTGGGCAGGTTTAGGCTCCGCAGATTCATCCACTGATAAAAAATCAAGTGTGTTGGAGCAGGGACACAACTAAAACATGGATAGCAGCTGGATGACATGTTGCAGAAGTTCACTCTCGCCTCACCTCACTCGGTGTGACTACCACAGGTAACGAGAATCCCTGCAGATGTTATCCTAGCAGCCGACTTCCAGAAAACTTCCCTCTCTGGTTCTGGTCGGAACCAAAAGTAAAGCAATCAATCGGACCGCAGGAGCCGGACCATCTCTGTGTCTGGGTGGATTATGTGGTGGAGCACTAATGGATTCTCCAGATTTAAAACATGATTTCTTAATTTTTATGCGTTTCTATGAAAAACTGAAAAGAAAATGGTTTCAGCCCCCCTAACCCTCCACATGGCTGAGTTAGTACTCTGAAGTATTTGATGACTATCGAGGTCATTATTCTGCTTGATGGAAGGACTCAGGAGCACCTGAGGTGGACCGGGCTCACCTTGGTTGCAGAGGCTGAGGCGACTGAAGACGACTCCAAGAAAGAGTGAAAGGAGACAAGACCTCGTTCTCAAACTCATGTCTGCGGCGACATTCAGCAGCCGACAGCCCGGATCCTTACAACTGATCCCGGGAGGAGAGGGCGTCCGTGCGGCGGCGCGGGAGAAGCTGCATCCTTTACCTGCTGGCGCTCCGGAGCTTCAGGAAAGTCTCCAGCAGACCTAACGTGAACTCAGAGTTCCTCTCAACGACAAACACGCGGAGGTAATCACAACTTGGCTGACTTCAAAGCATTATTTGAAAAATGAAACAAATCGCGTCTGGTGCGTTTCCGGTAACGCGCGGAGTCGTGACGGACAGCAGAGCGCGTGTGTTTGGCGCGGCGGCGCGCCGTGAAGTGGCTCAGCCCGCTGCAGCGGAGGGGTGATGGGGATGCAGCAGCGCGGCGGCACGGCTGGAGGCTGCGCGCGTCTGTGCAGGATGCTCGGCACTAGAGGGGGGTAGCTGACAAGGCACAGGCGTGCGTGCGTGCGTGCGTGTGTGTGTGTGTGTGTGTGTGTGTGTGTGTGTGTGTGTGAGCTTGATAACAGCTAAATGCTGCAGCTTGTGGCTTTCTTTTTGCTCTGAAGGGATGCATTCCTTTCTGTTTTCACACACCATCAACTCTGAAGCACCTTTAGGGCCCATCTGTAGAATAAGGGCGTAGGAACCGGAGGGTATGGGAGGCACGTGCCCCCCAATAGTCCCAGTAAATGAAATTGTAATTGTTCAACTTTCTGGCTTTTATTTTGAAACGCAGTGGTCTTGTCACCAGCCCGTCCCCTCAGGGGACAAGATGAAAAGACAGCAGCAGCTCAGTTTAAATGAGCGGGGGGGGGGGGGGGGGGGGGGGGGGGGGGGGGGGGATAATTTGGTCCTGGAGGATAATTACATAACTTGTTGATGTTTAACTCGTGAACCGTCAGCCTTTGTCTGAACAGAAAGTCCCTGACTGCCAGTGTTTTGGAGTATTTTTACTGTTTTTTGAAGAGTCACAGATCGGTGTGCTCTATGACCGTGTTAACACCAAAACTACTCACTAAGATGGGTTTTCTCTGCAGGGTAGCTGGGCTCTCTCTTAGAGATAGGGTGAGAAGCTCAGTCATCTGGAAGGGTCTAGTAGACCCGCTGCTCCTCCACATCGAGAGGAGCCAGTTGAGGTGGCTCGGGCATCTGGTCAGGATGCCTCCTGGGCGCCTTCCTGGTGAGGTTATCTGGGCACGTCCAGCCGGGTGGAGACCTAAAGGCAGACCCCGGACACGCTGGAGGGACTGTGTCTCTCAGCTGGACAGGGAACATCTTGGGATTCCCCCGGAGGAGCTGGCCCAAGTGGCTGGGAAGCTGGAAGTCTGGGCCTCTCGCCTTAGGCTGCTGCCCCCGTGACCCGACCCCAGGTAAGTGGAGGAAAACGGATGGATGGATGTTTAGTCAATTTTGTGAATAATTCCAATGTGAAAAGAAATTCATCTTCCATGGAGAATGTCTTCTCAAACCCCCAGTGAGTCCTGACAGACAGCTGCTCTACTAATCCAGGTTCTTTGTGCAGTCGTTCCATCGTTCCGACTCTTTCCTAAACGCAGCAAAGGAGATGTGTTTTACCCGTTTTTACCGACGTGCTTGGGCTAATGCTGTAGCCTTCCTCAGAGCACCGCCGATGCTGGTGGCTGACTTCCTTCTCTGCTCATCTGTGGGCAGCAGAGGACGATATCGCCCTCTACTGCCCGCGCAGGACAAAGATGTGGAGTCGTAAAGGACATCTTGCAAACTCAGCAATTAAACATTCATAGGAGAAACCGGAGTGTGAGAAAGAAAAAAGTGGAAGACAAACAAGAGCGGCAAAACAAGAAGCAGGAAGCACAATAAAGAAATCAGCTGCAACGGACCACCGCACAAGAGAAAACCATGTTTTATTTATTTATTTAACTTGAGATGTAACATCTGGTTTTCGAGCAGGTCCTCCTTCAACACAACCAGTAAAGAGTATGATGGCAGAGTTCATTAATCTCAATAGACTTAACATAAAATGATAATAAATAAATACAACTTCAGAAATAAAATAAATAAATAATAGATCAAAATAAACCTGCCGGGGATTAGACTAACATCCTTTGTAAACGGACTGGGACGGTAGACGCATCGTAAACACAACAACAACAACAAGCAATAGAGATGAGGAGACGTGGATACGACCATGAGCAGACGATGGCGTTTACATATTGGATCTTATTGGGACTGTGTCATCGGTGAGGAGAGCATGGGCAGCAGAGGGCGACGTCGTCCTCCGCTGCCCGAGGATCAAAGGAGAAGGAAGAGACGCCGCCAACGTCAGCAGAGCTCTGAGGAAGGCTACAGCCTTAGCCGAAGCGTTAGCAAGAAAAGGTCAAAACACATCTTCTACGTTTAGAGAAGAAATAAATCAACGATCCAAGTTCTGTGCAAGGGGAGGTTTCCTCTCCACTGTCGCTACATGCTTACTTAGTGTGGGGGTCAAGTCTCTGACACAAGTCAGTGACTCGATGAAATCTGCTGACTTTCCTTGCACAAGAAACTTAACCAATAGGAAAAATGACCTGAACTCAATGCACTGATAGGTTAAATTCAAACGTTTATAAAGTGGCGTGAGATCACTCTTCTCTATGTGGTGCTACGTAAAGTGAACTGAATTAAATTGTACAACAAGCTTTGTCCAAAATCACGTTGCTTTCATTTCCACTCAATGCAGAACAACAGTGAGCGGCTCATGTTGCCCAGAAGCCAATGTCAGCCAACATTAGAGGTCTTCTCCTCATCTTCATGGACATCTCATTGAGTGGGTAAGCAAACCCTCCCAATCCGACCCAGGTAAACAAAGCGACAGGCAGCTGTGATGAGATGCAGACAGTCAGGATGTGGGAACAGTTTCCTGTCAGCACAGCAGAGGTAAATACATCAACATCACAATCCGTCACCACCACTTAACTCTCAGCCAATCACCAAACAATGTTGAGAAGCTGCCAACGGACTTTGTGTGGCACACGTTGGAGGACGGGGGAATATATCGACCTCAGCGGCCTGTCTGTGTCTACTGTGGCTGGAAGGAGGCCCAACGCTCTGCAGACATGAATCAAACTATTAATGTCATGGCGCAGATGTATTACAGCCATAAAGATGGAAACACTGTGGGGGAAATCAAGATAACAAAAATATGCACAAGACTTTAGCCTGCAGGGAACACGCTGTAGACCACTCATTAACCCCATCACCGTTTCTTAAGCTAACAGCAAAGATGTCAGCAATAAACATCTCAGGTAATGTTTGTCCACATTCATAAGAAAAGTGGAAATCACATTAAAGTCCAATTCACTTAAAAACAAAACCTCATCAAAGTCCGTTTAGTCCAGTTGTGATAGAAGCCTCGGCCCTGCACGAGTCTCTCATATGCTAGCGCCACCTTTTAGGTTGAATTACGGACATGAATGCACGTTTGTCCTCATTTCCAGAGTTTCCTGAATACGGCTGACAATCCAGGAGTTTGAGCCTCTTGGAGTCTTTTTTGTGGGCGATGGAGAGAGGCAACGGCCTCGCATCGGGCCTATCGGGGCAGCAGGAGCAGAATCGCTCTGGTGACGAAGGAGCTTAGCCAGACAGCAGAGCTCTTAGTTCTTTCATTCCAATCCCCATGTTTGGTTTGGAGCTCTGGGTGAGGACCAGAAGAACCAGATCTGGCAGACTTCTTCAAATCTTCACTTCAGCCCTTCTAAGCAAACACGAGGCAGTGGGTGACGGTGGGGAAGAAGGGCTTCGGATCCCGATGGCCCCTTTCTGCCTCATCCAGCTGGGGTTGGATCGGCCAATCGTCTGAGAAAACAGCCTGAGCCAACTGCAGCGTAACTAAAGGGATGAGCCAGGATAAACCGATGTGGCAATAATATAAATGGAATACTCTCATCAGTCTATCTTTAGACACGTCTTTGTTCTTAAACATTTCAGCACATGAGAACAGAAACAATACCAAAGCTTTAGTGTGCAGCTGATTTGGTTCCCCGCCCTGGCACCCCCTCTGCACTGATCTGGTTTCCAGTGCTGTAATAGTGACCAATGAGGTGTGACTGTAGTGTAATGGGGGCCTAACTGTGAGGTATGATCCCTCCTGTCTGTTCTGAGCTAGGTCCATCCAGCTGTAGTCATCACAGGCAGGAGGCAGGAACCGAACCGCATCAGCACAACTGGCAAAGACAATGAGGCTTTATGGCTCTGACACGTTCAGTAACACCCCGTCTGCAGCAACGGGCTCCATGGAGCAACTGACCAAAAGCACAAGCAAAAACCAAAATAAGAAAGGAACAGCTATGGCTAGGACTCGGTAGGACTTGGTAGGACTTGCTAGGACTCGGTAGGACTCTCTAGCACTTGGTAGGACTCTCTAGGACTTGGTAGGACTCTCTAGGACTTGGTAGGACTTGCTAGGACTCGGTAGGACTCTCTAGCACTTGGTAGGACTCTCTAGGACTTGGTAGGACTCTCTAGGACTTGGTAGGACTTGCTAGGACTCGCTAGGACTTGGTAGGACTCGCCAGGACTCGCTAGGACTTGGTAGGACTCTCTAGGACTTGGTAGGACTTGCTAGGACTCGGTAGGACTTGGTAGGACTCTCTAGCACTTGGTAGGACTCTCTAGGACTTGGTAGGACTCGCTAGGACTTGCTAGGACTCGCTAGGACTTGGTAGGACTCGCCAGGACTCGCTGGGACTTGGTAGGACTCGCCAGGACTCGGTAGGACTTGCTAGGAGTCGCTAGGACTTGGTAGGACTCTCTAGTACTTGGTTGGACTCGGTAGGACTTGGTAGGACTCTCCATTACTTGGTTGTACTCGGTAGGACTTGGTAGGACTCTCTAGGACTTGGTAGGACTCACTAGGACTTGGTTGGTCTCGGTAGGACTTGGTAGGACTCTCCAGCACTTGGTTGGACTCGGTAGGACTTGGTAGGACTCTAGCACTTGGTTGTACTCGGTAGGACTTGGTAGGACTCACTAGGACTTGGTAGGACTCGCTCAGAACCTTCAGAAATCGGTCAACACCAACTCACCCACTTCTTGTGTGAATGCGTCGTTAGCGTTAAGTTTAGATCGCAAATTGTTCGAGATGGAACTAAAAGACGTCTCCCACAGTTTGGTGCTCCTGCATGAATAAACGCATTTTAGTACTTATTTCTAGTAATTTTTCCATTTCACTGCAATGTCCAGATGTTGGTGACTGCAAAAGGTAGAGAGAGAAATTTTTAGAGCCATCTATTTTTTCTATTTCACCGTTAGCATTGTTAGCTCAACTTTAGCTCACCATTAGCCTCTAGCTTGCTTTCCCGATAGAGTGAAACGAAAAGGTGGCTTCTTAGGGGAAAAGAAAAACCTTCTGGGTTGCTCCTGTTTACGGGCTAACGTTCTCTTCACAACGCTGCTGC